GTCTTTTTCTTATAGTTGATTTATTTCATCCTTTTCCTATAGTTGACTCGCAAAAAACTGCTTTTAAAACTGTTATAAAATAGGAAGTAATTGGACAGTGTGAACAGTAAGCACTTTTAAACACATTCCACCTTATCCTGATAATAACAAATGCATAGTCTAGATAAGAACAAGAGCAAACATTTATTAAAAGACTTTCTTAAGCACTAGATACTTAGTTAAGCTTTATGTGGATTATACAATATTTATTTATTATGGTTATTATGCTCATTTTACAAATATAGAAACTGAGCCTTAGAAATATTAACATATGCAAGGCCTTAGATTCAATAAGTGGTGTTTACAGTTAGATAGATTTATACTATCAAAGCCATTTCCCCATTTTATAGGCCCTTTTAACCCCTGAATTGTACTATTACAGCATATCTGTACTCTGGATCCTTAATTGAAATAATAACCTTACCTTAAATTTGACATTTTATGCTGAATCCTATATTTGCTAGATAGTATGTATAATCTTACTTATAAATGAACTTAAAATATTGAGAACATATAGAAAAATAATACAAATGCTATACATGTTTCAAACACTTTTCAGTTTTGTCATAATAATAATGCAACCAAGTCCCTTTATGTATGTACTGCATTTTATTCTTCAATCACCCCTTTGGACACATAAGGTTAGATACTAATTTTCATGAGGAGAATACAGCTGAACAACAAGTAGTTTGTTTCCACTTTTCTTACTTTTCCTCTGGACTGTACTTATAAGGATGACTTTCTTTTACTGTAATCCTGTACCATAAATTATATTAGATTGCAAGGCTTTGAAAATGTATATAGCTGGGTACGATACTGCTGCTCCAAAAAGGTGCCTGAATGAAGGAGGTATGGGTTATTTTAACATAACATGTTTAAAAGTGAGTCTGTTTCATGTGATGAATTATCTTGTCTTATATGCAATTGCAAATCATTTCTATTTTGTCATACTATAAATCAATTTTGAATATACCCCAGTATTGGGCAAATAGCAAATTATGTTAAATTGTATAGACAAATTCAGAAAGCCAAGCTGTGATTTGAAGCAACGGTGTTTTTAAAATGCAGTTTCTTTAAGATTTATGGAATAGTTCTTATTTCCTCTGAGACTGATTACACATACACTCATTTCTTTGAATTTTAGCATTGCAAATAATTCCAGTTTGGGAAGTAAGGATCATTTTTTTGAGGTCAGGAAGAATTTACATATGATATTAAAGGTTTTGATCTATTGTAGTATATTATGATTATATAATTTCTTACTATAATACAACACATTATATTATTGTTTGGGCTCTTGTTTTTATAATTGTATGTTTTAGAGTATTTCACAAGGTCTTTATTAAGACCTCATTCATCCTTGGAATTAACGGCAATAGTTCCCAATGTTAGGCAAGTATATAATTTCTACATCTTACCTTTCTCTCTTCTGAATTGCATTGAGTAACTTTAAAGACTTGTCTTGCAGAGAAAATGAAATTCTCCATTCTTAGAAAAAAACTGTTGAACTAGAAAATCTGACAAAAATAACTTATGACTTAAATGTAAAGAATTTATGGTTTAAATGAATCTGAACTCTTAATTTACCTTTTACTTTGAACTTGTCTGCTGTTTCTGTAAATATGCATTTTGTTCATTAACTCTTTTTTTTTCTATCTCCTGTCAACTTTATAGTAGGTGAGTGATACTCCCTTAAACCTTACACTGATAAATTTAAAGAAAGGTAAAAGGTCAGTATAGACTTTGTTAAAACTACTGTTCTATGGTACAAATTTTTTGAGCTCTTTTTTATATGCATCACAAGACATAATTTTTCACATACATATATTTACTGAAAACATAATGAATTTGAAATAGTAACACATGTCTAGATTACTTTAACATAGTCAAGACTTTATGTATCTTCACCCATCATATCTCCAAATGAAATTACCCTGTGTATCTCTGGGCTTTTCAGAACTCATGTTTTAGAGTAGTAGGCAACAGAGTAAGAATGTTTATTCTTATACCTTTTTAACGTATTTTGGAGGTCTTAGCCAGTGCAATAAGGCAATAAATAGACAAACAAATAAAATAAATAGTAGGAAATAAGAATGCTTTCTTCATAATGGATGCAATCTTTAAATAAGAAAATATCCTAAGGTATTTACAAAAAAGGCCATAGGATTAATGAGTGAGTGTAGTAGCAAGGTCACAGATTCTAAGACCAGTATTAAAAAATCAATTATGTTTCTATACTCTAGCAACAAATAACTAAAAAATTAAGTCTAAAACTAATACCTCTTACAATAATTTCAGAAAATCTGTCATATTTTAAGATAACTTAAACTATAACTTAGACCTGTACACTGAAAACTGCAGTGTAGTATTCTGAGAAAATAGCGAAGATCTAAATAATACACATACACCATCTTCCTGGACCAGATGAGTTAATATTAGTAAGCTGTCAGTTTTCCACAAAATGTTCTGTAGATCCGAAGCAACGCCAAACCCAATGGGCTTTCTTTTAGAAATTGACAAGCTGTTTATAAAGTTTATATGGAAATCCGGGGAAAAATATAGTTGAATAATTCATATTACCTAGTTTTAAGACTTACTGAGTAGTAATGAAGGAAGTCTGATATTGGCAAAAGTACAAACGTATCAGTGACTAGATAGTAAAGCCTACAAGTTAACCCACAAATACATGGTCCACTCCTTTCAACAAATGTATCCAAGTAATTCAATAGCGGTAATGAATTATTTTCAACAAATGTTGTTGAAACAACTGATTATCCATTTGAAAAAATTTGGAACTTTACCTTTGTCACACATCATGCATAAAAATTTATTCAAAAGACACCTAATATAGAAGCAAAATATTAACACTCAAAGAAGAAAAATAGGAGAAATTAGCAATCAGGCAAATATTTCTTAGAAAACAAAAGGCATGATTTTTTTAAAAAAGTGATACAGCAGGTTTCCCTTGAAAGACACACAAAAGTGAAAAGGGAAGGCACAAACTGTAAGAAGAAAATAGATTGAACACATATACACGTGTGATATGTATATATATTTGCAATACATATAGACAAAGATATGTATCTAGAATATATAAAGAGCCATTACAAGTCAGTAACAAAAAGTCAGAGAAGTCATTTTTTAGGGACAGGCCAAAGATTTGAAAAGATATTTCACATAGAAAAGAGATATGGTCAATAAGTCCTTGAAAAGATCTATAGTTAATATCATCTGTCATCAGTCCATTAGAAATTAAAACCATTATGAGATACCATTAGATACCCACAAGCCTGGCTGAAATTTTAAAAGGCAGTGTTAAAAGTTAGAATATAAAACAGCTACAACTCTCATATGTTGCTATTAGGAACATAAAATGGTACCATCACTTCAAAAAACAATTTGGCAATATCTTTAAAGTTTAACATCCACTTACCTTATTACTAATCAGTTTCATGATTAGTAATTTGCCTAAGGGGAATGAAAACTTAAGGACACAAAAACTTGCACATATGTTTCTGGTAACTTCATGTCTAATATCCAAAATTCATGTAAACATCTATTAGTAGAAAAGTAGATCAACCAAATGTGGCATATTTAGTACAGTGAAATACTTAGTACTCAGTAACAAAAAGAACAATTTACTGATAGTTGAAACAACATGGATAATCTCCAAACCATTGTAGTGAGCCAAAGAAACTAAGATTTTCTATGATTCCATACATTTGAAACTCTGGAAAACAGTTCTTTGTTCCCAGGCTAAAGACAATTTACTGGAAAGAGATATAAGGAAATATTTGGGGTTGATGGAAATATTTTATATCTTCATTGATGTATTAATTACAGTTTTATATATTTGTCACACTTAATGACAGTACATTTAAAATAGATGTATCTTATTGTGTATAAATTATACTTCAATAAAGATGAGAAATTAGGTTTTGGTAAGTTCTATTTATACTTGATTCTCAAATGAAAATAACTCAAAAGATCATGATCACTCAAGCTTAATCGAAGTCTTGTTTGAAATTACATAAAAATATTTCTGAAAAGTAAATGAAGAACATTAAGGTATAAAATTTTTGTCCTTCAGTGAGTTTGTACAGAAAATATTAGTCTATGTTATTTGAAATGCAATATATAAAATATTATAATCAAAGGAATTATTAATTAAATATAAAAATGAGATTAAACTCAGAACATCACATTCAAAAATGATATTAAGTGATACTTAGAAACTGCATATATTATTTTATTATTTAATTTGTTGAGCAGAACACATTGAATTGACAAGGATGTATCATAAGTGATGTAAATAAGTAAATATTTCCCTTAGACTTTTTTCCAATAAGAATTAATATTAACAGACATTTCCTTTTTTTCCTTTATTTCTTGAACCACATACTTCCCCAAATCATCTTTTCCCCCAAAAGTGGTAATCAATTGGAGTTTTTGCTTTTAAAAGCAAAATTTTTGATAGTACTTCTATTTCCCCTCTTACCACCAAACTTTTTAGTACCTTAGCAGAAGTCTGTTAACAATATAATTTATGCCATGCTTTGAAAAAAATTTTAAAGCTTTTTGTGTTATAAAGAGGATTTTTTTATGGGATTGATTCTTAAGTTCAGTGGTACTTAAAATCATATGCTTGCTTCCAAACTTAATGCAACTTAAATGTGTACAATACTGCAGAATGAATTGTATCTGTTAGGGCTTCTCCCAAAGTGATAATTTTTTAATGGTCCTTTACAGTGTCCCTTTCTTTCCTTTATGAGCTGTGTCTGTAAAAATCACTTCTGTTGCTCAGCTAAGCTTTCCTATCACTCAGGCGCTCCACTTGAAGCATATGGATGATACTACTTTGTTAAGGCTTGATGGGCTCTGCCGAGATCTCAGCTTAGCTACTTTTCTTAGCCCTCCTCTTTACTGGAGAGTCACGTTACTCTTCTGTAACCTTTCTACAGATTCGTTATTGGACGAGAAAAGCCAGGACAAGTGAGTGAAGTTGCCCAGTTGATAAGCCAGACGCTGGAACAAGAGAGGCGCCAGAGAGAGCTGCTGGAGCAGCACTATGGGCAGTATGATGCTGATGATGATGAGGTAGGAGTGCTGCCAGCATTTCCTGTTCCTTCTCACTACATGCCCACTGCGGGCAACCCTCACGCTACTGTGCAACAGCAAGGCAGGCTCTTTGCAGTTTCTTAAAGAGGATAAGTCTACATTGAGCCAAAACTCAACCTCAAGAAGAGAAATGCTACTTGCATCTGATATTAAGTTGTGAATCAGGTCATGGTATCCTATTTATGGTCTGAAGGCTGGAAACATATCAGTCTTTTATCTTACTATTAAAAGAAATTCATAGAAACAAAAAGGATAAAAACACCAAAATGTGAATTATGGCTATTTTTATTGATGGAATTAGATAGTTTTCTCTCTCTGGTTTATATTTTTTTCAATCTTTTCCAAATGGTCTACAATAGTATGCTTTTCAAAAAAAAAATCAGTAAACATTTTAAGTGAAAAAACACACTCATAATACAGAAACACACACACACACACACAAATGCTGATTTCTGAGTGTTTCCAGAGGGTTTTTCCCCCCTCAGGAAGAGAAAGTTCTTTGGATCTGCTCACTATGATTTGTGCTAACATAATGCAGAACAAAGCTTTTCCACTAGCACATGTTCCATAGCGTAGATACATATTGGAATAATTTTACATCCTGCTCTCTGTAGAAGATCAAGTAAATGAATAGAAGCTAACCCCCAAGTGAAAACGGCTCTCCGGAACCCTTGTGTGTTGTAATGTAATACAGATGCTGGTGTATTTCCAATGTCAGTGCCAAATGTACATTGATATGATGGGACAACATGCTTTATTATAAACACATTCAAACATGCATATGTTTCATATTGACTTGTCAAAAGATCCATCAACAATTTAGTTGTAGTATTTCATACTTCATCAACTAGTAAATATTCAGATAAAACAAATATTCTTCTTTGTGTCAGCTGATACAATATAACCACAGTGAAATTTCATGTGTTCACCCTCTACTCATCTAAATATATTACTTTTCCAGAACTTTTTTTGGTGTCTAGCCAGAACATAGAAATTATTAAAAATATTTTTCATGTATTTTTAATCTGGGATATTTTAACTAAAATGTATATTGTTTTCATGTGTTTGTAGTATAACAAGGATGTAGTCTCCATTTATTGAGTAGGAAATTGAAAATGGTATATCAATTAACTTTGAATTAAGGATAGTACATTAGAAAGCCTCTCATGAATGAATTAGTCTCTTAGAATTCTGTTTACTTTATTGGGTATTTTTCTTGTTGTGATTGCTTGAAAAGACAAGTTTTTTTCTAATTATACTGAGATATGAAGTATGGAAATATGTTATCTCAAAATTTGAAACTAAAAAGTGGTTTCTTCAAATATTTGAGCTTGCATTTTACCTAGTTTTCAATTCTCTGCTCCACTGTTTTATGTTTTATTAGAGATGTTGATTTGCTTGGCTACAAGCCTGTTTTAGAATTGTCAAGTCAGTCACTGCAGGCTTGGTTTTTACCTCCCCACTCCCTTAGATTTTAGATGTGAAGTTGAGGGGAGTACGGTGACATCAAGTGGTGGAAAGGCAGGAGGCCAGGCTTTGTTGTCTGTGTCTCAGCGTCCTTGGCTTTCAAGTTTGAGGATTGGGCTAGATCGCTAGATTCCTTCTAGTTTCTAGCATTCCATAAACACAGAATAAGACACCAGGTTGAGCAAGAAAAAGGGGAAAGTGAGATAGCCTGATTTTAAGGCTCCCCACGTAAAACTTTTAGATCACATTTACATGTTTCCTTCAATTATTGGAGGAATTTTTCACATTTATCCCCAAAGTTTTCAACTCAAGCAGCTAAAGCATGTGTAGAGGTATGGGGGTAGAGGGGTGTCTATTCTTTTGAGCATGTGCATATGATTTTCCTCTATTTGATAATCTGAGTAAATGAAAAAAAGAATATTTTTTATTTCACATATATATATTTAGGATCATATCATATACCAAGTGGAAGATTATGGATTTATTTGTCTGTTTTTGTAAAGAGACTAAAGATCATTTTCCATATGAGCAAATATTTTTAAGAGTAAGAGGAATAAGTCTGATAGTGTCAGGCACTTTACAAGGTGCCTTCCCTACATGTTCTCATTTAATCTTTAAAGCATTCAGAAGAGGTGTTTTGTTTTTGTTTTTTCTAGAAATGTAGCAGCTGAGGTTCCCTCCTACCCAGGTATGACTTAGCTGTCAGAGTTAGTATTAGTGTAGAGTCTTTGGCCCCAAAGCCTACTGGACTCTGCAGTTGTTCAGTACTGTTGTTGAATGGAGTGTACAGAACTTGCCTAACGGGCCTGCGTATTCAGGCACACACAAGGTAACTGGGAACAAAAGATGTTACGAGGATTCCTGTTTAGAGTGATGGAGCTTCCAGTAATACTTCAGTTCCATAATTCTTTGTTCTGTATTTTTAATAACAGGGAAATTGAAAACCTGGAGAATATTTTAGACAGCAGTCCCTAAGTATTGTCTTCATGGAGTTTAAAGGAAAGAATAACAATACACAAATGTTTTACCAGAAAAAAGAGTTGAAGTTTTCACTAAACTTAGAAATCAGAAATTAGAAATTGGAAGCTTTCTATTGTGTTACTTCAAGTAACCCCCATTTTCTTGAGAGGGTCAAAGAGTGTTTTCCTTTGTAGTTTTCTCTCATCCTTCTCTGATTTGTGTGTAACACAGTGTGTTACTAAATAAAACATGTCCAGGTAAAACCAGTTTAATTATCTGTGCAGAGGAGAGGTGAAATCTGTACAAATAATGATAATTCACTCTAGTATTAAGACTGCCAATGTTATTACTCGATTCAAAAATTTGTAACTAACACTACCAAATATTATTAAAATGATTGATTTGAAAAAAAATGATTGATTTGAATATTCTCTCAATTTTCTATTTACTTTGTTTCTCTGTTGATGGAAAGTAAAATGTTCATAAAGTAACAGAAATGAGAAGAATGAATATTGAGTATCCAATGGTTAAATGGTCATTGAATAATTGATTTAATTTTATATGTAATTAAGCAATGTATTGATTTACATATATTTGTTAGAACAGGCCCTGAATTTGTGTAATCAGTCACTTGGCTTTTAACTTTCCTTATAATTTATAGAATCATCTTTTGATTTCAAAGTTAGAATTACTTTTATTTGATAATATCCCCTGTGACATTCCCTGGACCTAGCCAGGGAAACCTCTAATTAGATACAGAGCAACTGAGTTCATCCAGCTAATTTTCAGAGCCAGTTCTTAGATCAACATTGTCTGCCAAAGGATAGAGAGCTTCTGTTTTTGATCAAATCATCTAAAGTTGATTCTAATTTGGAACTTGTCACATGGACAGATGGAAGTTGCTTGCCTGAATTGGCTACATGGAAAACATCACACTATAAGCAGTATATCCTGAAATTGTAAAAGTACAGTGGTCCGCTCTAAGAAGGAAGAAAGAGGGAGAATGTTTAGGAATAACACCTTATCATGTGTTACTTATGCTTACATATATCTATTTTAATGCTCTAGGAGATTCTAAGTCATTCTCTAGTAGAATTGAAATGTATAGTTAATCTCAAACTATTTAAATTGCTGCTTTTTCTGTTTTGTCTCCAAATATTTAAACTAGGAATAGTTTAAAATAAGCAAATAGCCAATTCCATTTTAATTTGCATTCCTGTTTCTGTTCACTCTCTGTTAAACATTCTGATTAAAGAAGAAGAAGAAGAAGTAGTAGTACAAAGACTCTGCCTGAAGGCTGAAAAATAAAAGGGAGGATCCTATAAAGAAAGGGGGATGAAAATCTAAACCACTAAAAAATTTTAATGTACATCTGAGTAATCTGTGATGAATGATTGCATTTCTGGATTTAATAGAATTACTGTGCATTTGTTTTTCTTTTTCTTTCTAACAATCTGAAAGGTAACTGTAGAGGATTTCAGTAAACCCCTCAGACAGTCAGCACTATGCCATGGTATTCTGGGGGTATGGTAAATTTTTCAACTAGATTTTAATTTTTTATAACATCTAGTCTTCTGTCATAATCCACACTATTATTTTAGCCTTTAGTAGTGAGATGAAATAACTCTGTTGTATATTTTTTCTGGCCTGTTTGTATTTTATGGGTACCTTTCTGTTAAAAAGCATATAATTTTAACTGCTGTGGGCTCAGATTGGAATATAGTATCAAATGGTGCTATACCTCTTTTTTGAATTAGAAAATGAATATGGTCATGAAATTAAAATGAATAATTTTATACCTTTTTTAAAATTATGTGATTATTTGGCTTTTTAAAATATTCTTTTAAAACATGATATTTATTATATTGTAAAGTTAGTGGTTATAAGTCACATTTAAAAAATCTCTTTAGTCTAGTTCATAGCAAGTTTAATCAACACTGTGGAGTCTGAAGCCCCTTCTCTTAAAATACAGCTTGTTTTTTTTTTTTTATAATTTGTTTTCAATACTGAAAATTAGTATCATTATACCAATATCACAACAGTGTTATTTTTAGAATCTTTTGAAGTATTTGATACAGTTTAAAGCAGCTACCTCCACAGATATGTCTTTCAATTGCTTGTGTTCACATGTAACAATCGAGGCAAAATTATAATAGATGCTGTGATTTGTGTAAGTATTAAAAGGTTCACAAGATTGTAATTTTTATGTGAAAAGCATTCATGGGACTACATTAAATTTAACTCATGCTGTTTGCTGCTCCTGGTTGAAAACAGCTTGTGCTATGTGCGCAAGATTGTGTTTATTTATGGATGGGAATTTAATAATGTGAATGGACCATATTCTGTGTCCATGATATTTGAAACAGAGTGGGAGTATCTTACCAAGGTCCAATGGCATCCTCTTCATATTTGACAGTGTGTTACAGCAAGCACCTGAACTTCAGTGTTTTTCGGTCCTTTTTCTCTCTATTGAGGGGCTGGGGAAGCCTTCTTTAATTGTTTTTGTCAACCATTTTAGAACACTGTGGCTGAATTTCAAGGAGTATCTGCCAACTGCAATAACAATAACAACTGTGTCCTTAAGGTTTGTTTTATTTTTTTTTTTGATAGTAAATAATGCTTTTTTTTTTTTAACCTTCCTGCTTCATGTGTGGAATTAAATATTCTGTTTCTTATTAACTATGCTCTGAAGAACTTCTCTAGAGCTATGTTTTTTTGTGTGTTGAATAATAATTTGAAAATAATGATTTGAAAAAATATTTAATTCTGAAATGGCATATAATTTAGTTACAGTTTCTGTGGTTTGGACTCACTTCCTAATATTTAACCATGCTTGTTTTTAATTCCTAACACTTCAAATTGAATTTGTTAATTCAAGTTAAAGGGGACAAAAAGATATCCAATATCAAGGCTAAATGTTAGTTACATAATACAGTATATAGTGATTTATATTGTCCTTAAGTCCAATATTTATTTTTTAAAGAAAAGAATATTCTGATACAAAGTTTTTAGTTTTTCAACGCTAAGTATATATCTTTAAATTATGGCACTATTTATTTGCATGATTTCAAGGGTTGACATACCAAAACATCTAAAAAGGTACTGCACTTTAAATAATGAAATTATCTCAGTAATAGAGATAATGGAGCTTAAAATGAGGTCAAGTGTGTTTAAATGACAAAATGGTTGATGGTGATAAAGAGGAGCCTGAAGAAAACGAGAAATATAAAATCTTTTAAATAGATGTTCAGAGACTTCTATTTGATCTTTAAAAAACATTAAATTTAACTATATACTTTGGTTTATGATTCTCATATTTATAATAATCATCATTGTTATTGAAACTGAAAGCCATAACGTTCTGGGAACACATAGTGGAAGACTGTCTATGGTTGATCTAGCCTACCAACTGTGTGTACACGTCTCTCTCTCTCTCTCTCTTTCCCTCTCTCTCTCTCTCTCTCTCTCTCTCTCTCTCACACACACACACACATATACACATTCTCAAACTATCCCCAGGAGGTGGACAGCCTCCTCTATTTTAAAGGTACCCTCTAGGGATATTACTTGTATTTATAACACTGAACACAGGAAGATGATAGGATCAAACAAAATAGAATTAGAATAAGAACTTCATCTAAACCAGGTCATCTCTTAATAGCTCATTTTCTTTGTATGATTACATTTTCTTTCATTTATTTGCTTATTTATTAAATTTATGATACTGGGGATTGAAGCCATGGTGCTCTACCACTGATCTATATCCCCATCCCTTTTTGAAAATTTTTTATTTGTGTTTTTTAAAGTTTGAATTTTTTATTGGTTCTTTTTAGTTATGCATGACAATAGGATTCGTTTTGACATAATTATAAAAACATGGAGTATAATTTGCTCTAATTCAGTACCCAGTGTTTCTACTTCCTTCTCCTCCTCCCTTCTCCTGTTCCCTACCTTACTCTACTGATCTTTCTATCTACTTACAGTTTTTTTATTTTTTGGCCTGGGGAAGCGGGTATCAGGGATTGAACTCAGGGACACTCAGCCACTGAGCCACATCCCCAGCCCTATTTTGTATTTTACTTAGGGGCAGAGTCTCACTGAATTTCTTAGCCCCTCGCTTTTGCTGAGGCACTGGATTCGATCCTCAGCACCACACAAAAATGAATACATAGATAAAATAAAGCTATTAAAAAAAGGAAAAGTAAAATATCTGTTAAAAATTATTTAAAAAAGAAAGATATTGTGTCCATCTATAACCCCCCCCCTCCCCGAAAAAAAGAATTTTTTGAATCATTGTTCATCAAGGATATTGGGCTGAAGTTTTCTTTCCTTGATATGTCTTTGGTTTCGGTATCAAGGTGATACTGACTTCATACAATGAAATTGGCAGAGTTCCCTCCTTTTCTATTTCATGAAATAATTTGAGGAGGATTGGTATTAGTTCTTTAAAGGTCTGATAAAACTGCACTGAGAATCAGCCTGGTCCTGGGCTTTTCTTTGTTAGAAGGTTTTTGATTGCTGCTTCAATTCCATTACTTGATATTGATCTGTTTAAGTTTTCTGTATCTTCCTGGTTCAGTTCGGGTTGGTCATATGTCTCTGGGAATTGTCAATATCTTCAAGATTTTCTAGCTTATTAAAATATAAATCTTCAAAATAGTTTCTGATTATTCTCTGGATTTCAGTAGCATCTGTGGTGATATTGCCTTTTGCATCCTGGATTTTGTTAATTTGAGGTTTTTCCTTTTGGTTAGTTTGGCTAAGGGTTTATCAATTTTACTTTTTAAAAACCACCTTTTGTTGTGGTGATCTTTTTATTGTTTTTTAATCTCAATTTTATTAATTTTGGCTCTGATTTTAATTATTTCCTGTCTTCATCTGACTTTACTGTTTCTTGTTCTTTTTCTGGGACTTTGAGGTGTAATGTTAGATTATTTATTTGGTATCTTTCTGTTCTTTTGGTGTCTGAGTTCACTGCTATGAACTTTCCTGTTAGTACTGTCTTAGTAGTCTTCAAGAGATTTTGATATGGTGTATTACTATTTTTATTTACTTCTAAGATTTTTTAAATTTCTCCCCTGATTTCTTCTGCTGTCCATTCATCATTTACAAGTGTATTATTTAATCTCCAGGTGTTAGCATGGTTTCTGTTTTTGATCTTATCATTGATTTATAATTTTATTATGATCTAATAGAATGTAAGGTATTATCTCTTAGTTTTTTGTATTTGCTAAGATTTTTTTGTGACCTAAATATGGTCTATTTTAGAAAATGTTTCAAGTGCTGCTAAGAAGAAAGTGAGTTCAGTTGTTGATGAATGAAATATTATGCAGATATCTATTAGTTTCATATTATTAATTGTAATTTTTAGTTTTGTAGCATTTTTGCTTAGTTTTTGTTTGGATGATCTATTCAGTGGTGAGAGAAGCATGTTAATGTCACCCAGTATTATTGTTTTGTGATCTGATTCTTAATGATGAGAAGGGTTTGTTGACATACATAGATGCTCTGTTGTTTAGCATAAATATTTATGATCATGATATCTTGTTGATTTATGATTACCTTAAACAGTATGAGGTAACTTGTCTCTTGTGATTAATCTTGGCTTGAAGTTCACTTTATCTGATATAAGAATATCTACCCCTATTTGTTTACCAGTACTGTTTGAATGGTATGTCTTTTCCTATCCTTTCATCTTCAGTCTGTGAATGTCTTTACTTGTAAGGTAAGTCTCTTACAGACAGCATATTGTTGGTTCTTGTTTTTTTATCTGGTCTGCTAACCTCTGTCTTTTGTTTGTTTGAAAAGTTTATATCATTTATATTCAGTTATTTTTGAGAAATGGTTTTTATTTCCTGTCATTTTGGTTTATTTCTTATATTTAAATTGGACTTCATTCTCCTTTAATTGACTATTCTTCTAATATAATTTCTCCCTATGTTGTTTTTCATTTTTATTTTTCATGAAACATTTTATTAAGTATGTTTTGTACTACAGGCTGAATTCTTTTAGCTTTTGTTTATCATAGAAAATTTTTATCTCTTCTTCAGTTCTGAAACTTAATTTTTCTTGGTTGGTATCCATTTTCTTTCAGAGATTGGTATATATTTTTCCAAGACCTCCTGGCTTTTAATGTCTGTGTTGAGTAATCACTTAAAATGAAGATTGGTTTACATCTAAATGTGACACTTTTTTTTTTTCTTGCAGCTTTTAAAATTCTATCCTTATTCTGCGTGGTAGGCATTTTCATAATAATATGTCTTGGAGTGGATCTATTATGATTTTGTATATATGGAGTCCTGTATACCTTTTGTATTTAAATTTCCATCTCTTTCTTAAGGTTTGGAAATTTTCCAATATTGTTTTATTGAAAAGATTGTGAATTTCTTTAGTTTGTATTTCAGAGCCTTCATGTTTCACAATGAATCTTAAACTTGGCCTTTTGATGTTGTCCCAGATATCTTGACTTCTCAGTTCATGGTCTTTTAATATCTTTTTTGATCAACTTTATTTTCAAAATTATATAGTTTTTGTCTTCAGAGTCTGAAAATCTATCTTCAAAGTGGCCTGATCAATTGGTGATACTTTCCATTGAATTTTTAATTTGGTTTATTGCTTCTTTGATTTCAAGAATTTTTTTTTATTCTTTTTCAGAATCTCCATCTCTCTATTGAACTGATCTTTTGTTTCCTGTATTTTCTCTCTAATTTTATTCTTTACATATTCTTTTAGCTCATAGAATAGTTTTTTAAAGATAATATTATTATGGTTTTTATACATTTATTTCATTTATTTTTATGTGGTGCTGAGGATAGAACACAGTGCCTCATACATGCTAGGCAAGCGCTCTGCCACTGAGCTACAATTGCAGCCCTCATGGAACAGTTTAACTGTGAACTTTATCTAAAGAAGATATTTCCTCCACTGTGGTATCAATGAAGTCTATTGTTAAAACATTATGGGCTGTTTGGGATGGTGTGTTCCTTTGTTTTTTCATATTTGTATGTTTGCCCATCTATTGGTATAGTTCTGATTTCTTCCTTTTTTAAAATATTTATTTTTTATTTTAGATGGACACAATATCTTTATTTTATTTGTATGTGGTGCTGAGAATCGAACCCAGTGCCTCACGCATGCTAGGCGAGCACGCTACCACTTGAGCCACATCCCCAACCCTAATTTCTTCTTTTAAGTAAAGGACTACTTTGTGAGCTTCGTTATTTTAGGAGCCCTGGGTTAGGTGACCATTCAGATTATGATAATTTAAGTGAATGTGTGACCTCCAATTCCAATATCAGTACCACTTGAAGGCATATCATTGAATCCTATTTACTATAATCACTTCAGAGCCATGCCTTATTCTATTTATCCTTGATAAGAAATAAAAATGTTGTAATTGTTCTCTAAGGCTCCTCAAATTCAAGTATAAACCTATATTAAAGTTCTGAAATAGGTCAAATAATCAGTTGATAAATGTAATAAATGTATTATTTCTTTTCACAATTTCATCTTGAGCTATTTACTCTGTTTTAAGGATCTTTCTGTTATGTGAGGGCTAAAAGCAGGGAGGAGGAAAGCTTAGGC